AGAATCACATCCTTGAGGAGACGGCGGTGCTCAGCCACAGCACACCCTCCTCACATGCGTGGAGCGTATCCTCTGGATCGTCCACGCAAACAAACCAGAGCCTACCACAATGTTTAATGTCCGTCTCATAGATTAATTTAAAATATCAGACACATTTTTTGTTGTAGAAAATCCAAACTCATATTATAAATGCGAAAGTAACTGTTTGTCTGTCTGTTTTTGCTTCACGCCTAAACTACTAAACCGATTTGAGTGAAAATTTTTACAGACGTACTTTGAAACGCCAAAAAGGACATAAGAGAGTTTTTTCCCGAAAATCCTGCGGGAGCGGGAAATCACCAGTGGGTAAAACCGAAAATCTGCAGGAAGTCACTATTCCACGCGGACGAAGTCGCGGGCAAAAACTAGTTTCAAATACTTTCGTCGTGACACACCATCATAGAGCTTACTTTGCAATGTTAAAAGCGATTCAGTAGTTCCAGAATTTATTCTATATAACGTTTCCTCTTCTTAAAGACAATTCCACACATAAGTCGAGAAAAATTTGCCACTGAAATATAAAATTTAAAGCACTCAAAATAGAATAACATTTTGTCTGACACTGTAAGAGCTGGAGAACTAAAACTATCCAAATTGTTTAACCTTCTTAAAGACACCTCCAAACATAAGTCGAGAAAAATTTGCCACTGAAATATAAAATTAAAAGCACTCAAAATAGAATAACAATTTGCCTGACACTATAAGAGCTGGAGAACTGAAACTAGCCAGTAGGTAGGTTTAATAACAAAATGAATGCATCTCTGGGGAGAGTGGTCGAGTAGTGCCAGTGATAATTACAATTATGGCGCTAAAAGGGTTTATATAGTTCATTCGAGCAAGATTTATAACGACAATGCAAAAGAAACTTTGCTTTTAAAACTAAATCTTAAAGTTTCATCTTAAAGTTGAATATGCATTGTAAAACTAATAAAGGATTCTTGTAATAAATAATATTATATACAGATAAATTGAGAAGGTACCGACTGTTACTTATAAAAAAAATACCTATTATTAATCCACATACAAGAATACACTACATTTTATATTCATTTTCTTGTACGCTTTTTAGGGATAGGGCCACATATCTTTATTTTTTTGGCTTACAAAACATATATATTGATACAATATACAATCGAAAACATCGGTGTATTAATATGTACATTGAAAAACAGTTGCTCTTTTTATAAGGGGCAAATAATCCAATGTCCTTTATCGCCCAGGATGGGGCGAGAGTGTCAGATTCTTACTGACTAAAAACACAACGTTTTTCCTGCTATACACCGGCGCCGCGGTACAAAATTACAACAACGGGAGCAGTTTTCCCTAAATGATTCTAGAACTTCAGATCTAAAATTTTTCGTTATCTTCTTTACCGTCATATTAATGCTTCAGTCGAAGCGGTGTATGCCTATCTTTTTATTTGTCATGGGAATAACATCAAATGACCTTTCCCGCCCATGGTAAACCTACATAAATCTTTTACTCATTAAGTTATTTATGTTTAGTGTTTATGGGACTTAGTAGCCTGAAATAAAGAGTTAAATAAAATAAATTAAAATTATAACAACAGAATCTACACTATCTGTGCTTGACAAGATGGCGGCGTAACAATGCAGTGTTAGCTAGTATCATTACAAATTATATTTTAATTAACTACGGTTACTGTAACTTGGTTAAAAACTATGTTCTTGGACAGCCAGTGCATTATACGACTCAAAGTGTGCTCGGCTCTAGCAAACACTTCAACCCAATCATTTCCACTTACAAGCAAAGCATTGTCGTCAGCATAGCTACAGATGTCGCAATTAGGGATGTTAAGTTTACCTTATGCAGCTATAGGTAGTTTCATTTTCAACGAACTTGGATTGTTGGTATCTAATAATATATTATGTTCGTCATGGTGGCCCGGAGATCGAGGCCTCATGCATGAGCAGCGGGGAACGCGAAACCTAGACCGTAGTACAACACAACAAGTGAGAAGAGCGTTTTGCTCAGCAATGGACACTTATGGACTAAAAATGATGATATTGATATTGAAAACTATGTATTCTTTTGTAGGACTTACTTCAACCGTAGGGCTATTAAATGCTATGCATCGTGTCTTAGGTTCGACTTTCGGGTTTGATAAAGGGCGGTAATTTTTTTTACAAACAGAAATTTGATGGTTTCAGTAACTATAAGAAGCCTTTTTCCGTGCCATTCCGATACTTCTTTATACAAACCTTTTTTTAGCATAGAGTATAATCATGACTTCTCCCACCCAGGGCAAGAGGGAGTGTCAGACTCTTACTGACTCTAAACCCCTTGTCCTGCTCCAGGTCGAAAGGGCCGCAGTACCTTATTTTGCTTGATCCGCAACCCCGGCTGAACATTGACCTTGTAGAGCCTCGTCTGTGGTGATCTTTACGCTCTTTAAGGCACGCACGACCCTGGACAAGCCAGTATTCGTGAAAATAGACGTAACAAATTACCAATTTGCTCTTGTTATATTGTAACCTAATCATAATACGTAGTCTATACCAGCTAATGTTATTCTATCCCATTTATCCACACTTGAAAACTTTTTCAAGTATCAACCCATTACCCACTCGACGCAACTATTCAACCCGCAGCCGCTACAGTGTGGTACTAACGACCCTACACTAAGCAATAATCGCTCGCATCGTTCCAACTTAAATAGTTTGTACCCACGAACTTTGAAGTTCGTAAACACTTTAAAGTAACGTGTCTTGAACGTCACACTATCACACTATCTCGCTCACACAGTGTGAGTTCGTCAGTTTGTAACTTTGTAACAAGTTAATCTTGTTCCGATGTAGTATGCGATCATTTTGAACTACTTAGAGGCTCAAAACTTTGAGTCCTTGTCCAAACTTTACTTAGAGATTATGAGAATTAAAATATTATGTTAATTACTTTGTTTGTTTGTTTGAGAATTACCTTTCCACTTTGGGTGACACATAAGTTTCGAAAATTGTGAACTGATTAGAAAAAGCCTGTGTTTTTGGAAATAGATTTGCTTTCTGGTAATTTTTTTCTCTTTTTTCTCTTTTTTTCTCTTTTTTTTTTAAAAAAAAACTTTGCCCCACACTAGGATTTTCTCCTGTGTCGTGGGTGCGTTTACAAACATACAATATCACATGCACATCACAGCCAGACCCGGAACAACTATCTGTGGATCACACAAAGAGTTGTTCCGTGCGGGAATCGAACCCGCGACACGTTGCGCGCCAGCCAGTTGCCCAGCCACCGCGCCAACCGTGCAGTCGAATGGTAAGATGTTATTGTATTTCAATTAGAAGTTTATATACAACTAGCTACTCCCACGCGGTTTCACTCGCTGATCGGCTCCATTTGATTGTAGCGTGCACCCGGGAACATTGTAGCTTAGTGAAAGAATTTTGGAAATCCGACAAGCGGTTCCAAACATTACCCCCTACATACAAACTTACGAATTTTACCTCTTTATAATATTAGTATAGATTTAATACTTCGTTTTATTTTGTCTCAACTTTATTTCTTTATGCAATTTGACATAATATTTTAAATCATGTCTTGAATTACTTTTTCGTGTTGGACAATGTACCATTAAGATAAACGATTATTAAGGTATGTCCGCAAGGACAAACATACATAATGTAATTTTACATTTAGTCTCCAAGTACTTCGTGAGTGGCAGTAGATATTTAAAATTTAATTTCATAATATTTTTTTATTATAATTTCATAATATAAATTAATTTTATTATTTTGTAATTTGCTGTGCCCGACAGGGTCCATAATAATCTTAATACTGATACACATAATATTATAACACCTAATGTAACATTATGGAATGCAATAAACATTTACATTTGAATTTGACTTTGCCCAGTGCAAAGGAGTTACTTCAAACGCGTTTAATGGTTATAAGGATAGGGGATTTTAGGATTGAAGATGGAGAGGAAGGATTGGGCCTCCGGTAACCTCACTCACTCAGCGAAACACAACATAAGTTTCACGCCGATTTTCTGTGAGGCCGTGGTATCACTTCCGTCGAGTCTGCCCATTTGTGCTGAAACATGACTCTCCCACACTTAAAGTATACCAATTATATATTAAATGATTTTTACCGATGTCACACTAAATTGAATTCTATACAATGTCGCCTATAAATAGGCGATGAAAACCGAAATTTCAGATTGAATTAAAATTTCACACTAACCTACAAAACTTCATTTCATTCCTGTCAGTTACAAAACTGCGCTGACATACGGACAGACGGACATGTCCGTTGTTTACTGCACTGTGACGTCACACGCCAGCGTCACAGTTATTTAGCTACAGACCATTGATGCGGAGTGTTAAATGAAGCGGATCATTGGGTCTAATGGTCCCAAGTGTGACTGTCGTAAGGGTTTGTGGTCATTTCAAGCAAAATATTTAAGTAGGTAGTAGGTTAAGTATAGTGAGGTTACTGGAGACCCAATCTTTTTCCCTTTCCATTCCTCAAATACTTAAAAGCCCACAAAGACTGACAACGCTCTTGTAGCTAATTTGGTATCACCATGATGTTGTGATGTTGATTGTTGGGGTGATGTTAATTGCTTATCATCAGGTGATCGGTATCCTCAATGGTAGACTTATTCTTAAAAAGATACATATTATTATAGGTAATGTCTGGTGGTTCTTATTAGACATTATTGGAATTGCACTGAATTACGTATTTAAAATAAATAAATAAAAACTAAATTACTAGTTATTTAAATCTCAATAAAGTTTTGGCGTATCAGAAACTTCGGATGCGAATTAGAAAAAAAAAACAGCTACCATACTAAACTACTATACAAATTACACGGTCGATATTTTGACACAAAATTTTACATACATATTTCCCGCTTTCCTCCATCTTCCGTTAACAAACAAAACTAAAAGGTACTGCATAATGCCATCAATAAAACATTTTCCTTCTTTCTTTCCCAGATCTGAAGTGAGGGGGCGCTGTCGCCCACCATGCCATCTCCAGACAATCGGAAACAAGGTAAGTGCATACTCTCGTAGATAAAAACGCCAGCACATCAAAGTACACCAACATTTTTTAAACGATTTCCACCTTTAACACGAAATGATACGGTTGAAATTCCCTTAAAGTTCCACTCTGTTTAGTCAACGTAAGAAAATACCTGGTCTGTCTGAATACATTAACTTTGAAGATGTCTTTAACCCATGAGAAGGCGCGCTATGAGCGATTTGCTCACACAAATATTTAAAGCAAAATTTTTTGATGATACCGACGCCCTAACGTCTCAAACGCCTAGGTACCTTCCTAACTATTCATCCCCTCCCCCGTAATGCAAGTCTCGTGCCGGCCAGTTCTGTTGCGACCGCGCAACTAAGTGTTTGTGGAGGCCGCATACCATCGTGCGGTAATTTGCTCATCACGCGCCCATCCATGTAAGTATTTATTTATCCAATTAAAAAAGTATAATTGGATTCTCTAAATTATATTATTATATTTATTTATATTAATTTGGTTAATTATTACTTAAATACTCTACAGCAATATTTTAATAATAATATTTCTTGTTTTTAGCAACATCACTCGTGTAAAATGGGCGATCGACTTCAAGAACAAATTTGTTCGTGGCTGGAAGAGGATTCTGGTGATGAAGCATTGGATGCGGATCTTGAGAACGTAGAACAACATCGTGTTGACAGCATAGAAAGCGATACTTCCATCATTTGCAGTCCTCATGACGATAAAATAGACCAAGAAACAGGAAATGAAGCTAAACCTGAGATTATAATATTTTACAATTCCACAAAAGGAGGAGTGGATGTAGTAGACCAAAAGAAAGAGGATTATTCCGTTGCCAGAATCACTTCACGATGGCCAATGCGCTTATTTTTTTCCATTTTGAACATAACTGGAATTAATGTCCAAATAATATACAAAGCTAACACCAAAACTTTGATTGAAAGACGTACATTCCTGAAAGAAGTAGCGCTTGAGCTGGTAAAACCACATATTTCACGCCGAATTTGCGTGGAGAATATATCGTCAGATCTCAAATTTCTAATGAAGCGATTTGTGCCGGCGACTAGACCTATTTCAGAGCCTAGGCCAAGCGGATTCTGTTCTATATGTCCTAGACGTAAGAATAGAGGGTCAAAAAAAGCTTGCACTTTGTGCAAGCAATTACTCTGTACCGAACATATCACATATATGTGTTTAATGTGTTTCGAGAGGCACACTTGTCCTGATCTCATGGAACAGTAATTTTTTAAGTTTTTTTTATATGTAAGATTTTTTATTGTGATTTATATGAAGACTGTCAACATTAGAAAAAAAAATTAGTCGATTTGTTATTTGTTTTAGAAGTTGCATTTATGTTTCATAGTTTTAATAAAAATACTTAGTTTCTTACTTATCAAACCTTGTTTTATTCATATAAATCCATTCTGAGTCAATAAATACTTTAGAAGTAGAAATATGAGCATTTAAAATAGTGTGAGCAATTTGCACGCGCGAGCCTCTCCATGTAACAAACAAAGGCGCGCCTTCTCACGGGTTAAAAAGTTCTCGCTTGTCAACTTAGTTTAAGCATCTTGGGCATTAAAAGTTCTTTTCTGCAATTCTCGATGGCAATCCCCTAGTGGGATATGGAGATAATATAGAATCTATTTCATCTGCACGTCGATTCTATAAAATTTGTTTGATTTTGAATCGTGTTCGAGTGCGAAGTGAGCGTCGAAGTGACGGGGAAATTAAATTTTAGAATGCCACTTTTAACATCATATCATACTAAACTTTATCTATCAAAATGTTGTTGTCTATTTAGTTCAACTCGGAAGTGTAGCGCTAGTGTACTACTACTTACAGCGGATTCAGATTCGAAGTTTAGAATGAAGTCTTACAGAATCACACTGCTGTTTTCTTCTTGTTCGGCCCGTAGAAAATAAATAAACTTGTTAGAATTATTCAGCGCCATCATCAGCCTTATGTATAAGTGCTTACTGCTGATCGAAGGCCTCTTTTCGTACGGAGAAGCTTTTTGGCATTAATCCCCACGCAGACCACGTTGCTCAAGGCGGATTGATTTCAAACTTATAATTAGAAATTATAAGTCCAGGTCTCCACAATGTTTTCCTACATATATAAACTCGGAAAAAAGTCACATTGGTACTTGCTAGCTTTAGAATCCGCACCCTCATTCATGAGAAGCGGGCGGGTTAGAATTATTAGCTACTATTACCTATGTGTAATGTATCGTTTCTAAAACCTTTTTATTAATCTTCACATGTAATTACCACAACAATATACATACATTACAAAATAGGGAAATGCCTCTACTTTGCTTCTCCCGTCCTGGTAGGGGCGAGTTTCAAACTCTTACTGACTAAAAACGACACCGTTCCATCTCCTGTTCTGAGCCTGGTTGACGTCGCCTGGACGTTATCCCTAGTAACCTCTATTTTTAGTGTTCAGATGGCTCTATGAGGCCGCGTGGGACGCGCCATTCGGGTCTGATTCTGGTCAGCCAGTACTCGCCGGCCCTAGATTCGCGCGTATACTTTTTTAATATGTGCCATCATTAGTATTTAATTGGCACTATAGAAGACAGGCCAGATGGCTGAACCTCCAATATAAATCAATTTTCCACCAACTATTTACATATCCATAATAACATCGTTCGATCAAATTGACTTTTGTCCCATCATTTAAGGTGCGTAAGGAATCCAATATGGCCGCGAGACGGACAAAAGATGGGCCCTAATTGCTATTTGGACAGCGAACGTACAATAAATGGCGGCATTTATCTTTGAAACACCGTAATGTGTTTACCTACTGATCAGTTTTATTGCCATGATAGCTTTGTTATTACCTTATTACCCCACTATGCGTGTAAATGATTGCATTACCAAGTTTTAAGGGTATTACCTAAATGCTAGTTACGTTAAGTATTGTTATCGATTGGGAGTGTTGAAGTTAATCCTAAAATTGGATGCGTAACGGCTTTTCCAATTTAATAAACTGCATTCGTAATAAGTCGAAAAGTCAATGAATAAAAGTGTCATTACAATACGTTGCATAGCAGCCAGTTGCCAGCCACTGCGCCAAGCTTCGACACGAATGGGTCGGCTCGACCGGAGTGATACCACGGCCTCACAGAATACCGGCGTGAAACAACCCACAGCGTTGTGTTTCGCCGTGTGAGTGAGGTTACCGGAGGCCCAATCCCTCCTCTTCCTCTATCCCTTCCCAATCCTTATATCCGCAACCCCTATCCCCAAAAGGCCGGCAACGCACTCCTAACTCCTTTGGTGTTGCGGGTGTCCATGGGCGGCGCCGATTGCTTACCGTCAGGTAATCCGTCTGCTCGTTTGCCGACTTATACAATAAAAAAAAACCGTGCAGTCTCGAATTGTATAAATCAATCCTATCTCGCCCTTCCTCTTTCCTGTTGTCCTAAATGGTTGGAAAGGGCACTCTGTCATATGTTAATGTGTCGTGCCTTCACTACAAGTACAAACACCATTTTCATGCAGAAACATGCAGGTCGGGGCACAAACTAGGCTGTACAAATATTTGTTCCCTTGCCGAATTGAGAATGTCAACCGAAAATAGAGGGGCCCTTGTGTTTAGGACCGGTTTGGTTGATTTAGGATTGGACACGAGAATTTATGGTCTTTTGTGATTAAATAAGCGTAGGCTTCAAAATCAAATAAGTAGTTTGGTATTGATTTATTAATGTTTTCCGTCACATTTGTATATATAGGTACACATATTTGCAATTTTTGCTTGAGTCCAACTCCCTTCATATTAAATCCTCAAATAGGCCTAGCCCCAATAGGCCGGCAACACAATTGTACTTAATCTGCTGTTACAGGTATCCATGGACAACGCTGATTACTTACCGTCAGGGGATCCGGCTACTCGTTGATCGCCTTACCTTATATACAATCTTTTACAAATTTAGTCATTCATCGGTCTAATCAATCCAGTTAATATTAATAATAATAACTTCACCTGCCATTTTTACGTGAATTAATCGCATTGTTTCGGAAGCGCCATAGTCCTTCCATAGCCCATATACCATCATACTAGTCCATAGCAACCCACACCCATAACCTTATCTCTTTTTTACATTATCCGCAATAGTCCTACACTAAGCGATGACTGTCCTTGGGTGTATTTCCATAGTGCATACAGGGGTAGTCGCCGGTTTGTGTCCCATATCCCACATGTGTTGTGTATAGGGCCTCTGCGCAGTTTGCCCCGGCCCCTCGTAGGTCTCTTTGTGGTCCCGTGATTGGTAAAGATCGTACAAAAATAACACTGATATACTCGGTACCTATTAAGAACTTTCCTCAACAGAAGAACTAAATTCGCGTAACGATGGAGTTTGTTTGCTCCTTCTTCTCCATTCGAATCTACACTTTGGAACAAACCTCTAGCTTCATTAACAATCTGTCTATCAGACTAATAGTCTATGTTGATATTTCATAAGTATTTGTTTACAGTTTAGTTGAAATAATTGATATTGGCTTTGACTTTAAACATCGTTTAGTAATGAATAAGGGAAATTATTGGTAAAGTATTTATCGGCCGGAATTTACCTGTATGTAGAACAATGCTTTCGTCATCAGTTGTTATTGTTTATACTTTTATATACTAGTACTTGCAAGGCTATTGACCTTTATTACTTTATTACTTCGGGTCGTGTTTCCTCTCACATTATAAATACCCTGGTATCATACACTTTTGTGTTTCAAGCCTGATTCAACTTGCTGCCCCTTTACAATGGCACCGCTGAGCCGAAGTACGAACCTCGCGGGGAGAATCCTCAGCGAAGCAGTCATTTAGCTTTAGTCGATTTTGTTGGGGATCGTTAGCGTAGAGACCACCACATGGATTATAAGTATTAGTAGTAAACAGTCGTAGCTCGACGAACTACAAGTGGACTTACCTCAAAAAAAAATAATCTTTTTTTGTTTTTTTTTTGAAGTGGTAAAATCAGTCTCATACTGTAACTGGCT